GAATTCGAATCCTGAATCGTATATTCATATACTCTGTCCGAATGTTTTTGTTTGCTACACTTTCTTTTTTTGGATGTATTAGAAAATTTGTCACACTTTCTCTTTTTCGTAATTTTTTATTTTAAAAATACTCAACAATCCTTGCTTTTTCTACGTTTTATCTTCTTTTTATACTTTTACATCATCTATCCTACTTTTATATATACTATTCAATATCAAAAAGTGTCCAACACCTATTGTAGCAAACAAAAAAAACATAGTGGGAGTATAAATTATTTGAGTCTTAATAGCACTTCTCAATGTACAACCCCTGTAGCATGTAATTTACTACGGATAGTTTGGGCACAAACTTTACACATCCGCATCGCCAGAAAAATGTCCACCGGCGACGCCGCCATCCCACCAGCGGCCAACACCGATCCCGTATCTCAACCACCACCACAGGATAAAACGCCGCCACAACCTCCACCGCCACCGCAACATCCAACGCCACCCCCACCGCTATTGCCACCGCCAACGCATCTGCAGTCCTCCCCAATTCCAACCACCCCTGCCCCCATCCGCTCTATCACCTCCGGCACTACCTCTGCCAACATCACTCCTCGCTTGCCGGAAAATGACGTCATCAACTTACCCAGTTATTCCAGTAAGTCTGCTCATCTAATTTTGTTTACTTATACTCCGTATATGTGTGTGTATACTCTCTGAAACCCCTTCCCATTTGGCAGGGTGGTTTGCATGGAATAGAATTCATGAGGGAGAAATCAGGTTCCTTCCTGAATTTTTCGATGGAAGATCCCCATCTAAAAATCCTATGGTTTACAAATACTATAGAAACAGCATTATTCGTCGGTTTAGGGAAAACCCTACCCGAAAAATCAACTTTACCGAGGTCCGAAAGACTCTAGTTGGGGATGTTGGCTCGATCAGAAGGGTTTTTGATTTCCTAGAGACCTGGGGTTTGATTAATTACACAGGCTCAACTTCTAGCAGGAATCAGCTTAAATGGGAAGACAAAGATGCTAAGGCCTCTTCTCATGGTGGAGAAGCCAATGCGAGTTCAGTGGATATTCCGGTCCCCAAGAAGAGATTGTGCAGTGGCTGCAAGTCTCCTTGCAGCTTTTCCTGTTTTTCTTGTGATAAGGTAAAACAACCACCTCATTCATCAAGTTGGATTTTTAAGGAGTATGGACCTCTCTTTCAATTGTTTGAAGCTTATACACAGTACACCTAATGAGGTTGTTCATCATTTATGGTAAATGCAGTATGATATGATTCTTTGTGCGAGATGCTATGTACGAGGTAATTACAGGGTAGGCTTACATTCTTCAGATTTTAAAAGAGTTGAGCTTAACGAAGAGGCAAAGACAGATTGGAGTGAGAAGGAGACATTGCTCCTCCTAGAAGCTGTCATGCATTTTCGTGATGACTGGAAGAAGGTGGCAGGGCATGTGGGTGGTAGGAGTGAGAAAGAGTGTGTTTCCCGCTTTGTAAAGCTGCCTTTCGGCGAGCAGTTTGTTGGACCTCCAGAATCTGCTGAAGTGGATAGTGAATCATTTGCCGCCAAAAGGGTGAAACTAACACCCCTTGCTGATGCAAGCAACCCTATAATGGCTCAGGTAAAGTCCTTGATTCTTTGCATGGCTTTAAATTGCGGTTGCAGCCCGCAGCGCAACCGTGTCACACCGCAATTGCGGTGTTTTTTTTAATTAACAGTCAAAACCGTAGCGTACCCGCATAAGGGCCGCATCAGGAGTCAGGACCGCAACACTAACATATTTTTTTCCTAATTCATTTGAATGTAAAATTAATTCAAACTGTATCGGATGCAATACGCATCACAGCTACCTCAATAGCCGCAACCGCATTTTAAAACCATGGTTCTTTGTATTGCAATTATCTGTGTCCTTGAAGAGTTGAAGTTCCTAGAATTTTCTTATACATTAAAAACTATGGACATGTTTACTTCATAGGTTAATAAGCTGTGTTTGTGCTAAAGCCCGCTTTAATAAACATATCCTTAATAAGCAATGCTTGGTAAACGTGTACTTACTTCAAAGGACGATACGTATGTTAGGGTACTATTTAATTCTAAATGTCAAAAACAACCCTCTATTTTACTATAGCAAACCATCGCCCTTCTCTGACATCTACATAACTTTTTCCTGTGTATAGAAGATTAATCTGTAAATTTTCCCCATGTCTTCATATTCCTTCATCTTGCGCTCATCTCTCTTTAAAGTGTAATATACTTGAGATTTCGGCTACGAAATATATAATTTACTGGATGAAGTTCACTGTATACAATAAGAATGAAACATGATTATCGGATAAGAATGAAAAATGATGGGTGGGTTCGATAGGACACAAATGGAAATAAGAATTTGATACGTGAAAAAGCAGGGGCACTCTAGTCAATATAGAATAGCTTAACCCATTGCTTAATTAAAACATGGTGTAGCGGCAATTTATTAAACACTGGGTTAAGCGTGGACCATGCTTACTGATCAGGAGTTTATCCGCTGAAAGATGTTTACTTCATATGTTTTTATAACCTAATCACATAATTGACAATGAAGTAAACATGTCCTATGCATATACACACATACATACAGTCATACATATATTTGTGTATAATGTATGATGCTTTTTTCGTGATGAAATGTTCAGCTCATAATAACTTAAACATTGATTATACTCTAGAATCGTATCAGAATATATAGGATTGTACTATTTTTATTCAATAAGAAAACCATTTAACTCTTACAGTCTTACTGCAAGCATATGCAATGCTAGGGTTGGCCAATCTGTGCACTAGCACAGGTTCTGTAAAATCTCTTTTCGACGTGTTACCTATGTCCTGATAAATTTGGGACATGAGGTTTGGCACTAATCGTGTTGTTGATATTTAATTTATTAAAGTAAGAATGATTGCGAGATGCACGGACTGACAAAATGGGACAGAGAGTAAAATTGTACTATAAAATCTTAAATGAATTACTTTTTTTCCGACCCGACTCAAATTCAATGTTTTGAAAGAACTGGCTATGGCACGGACTGCATGAATGAATGCGTGGTACTAGTTAGTTGATAATTTCATCCAACATGGATGGATTATTATGGGAGTAGATTAATTGCACAACTAAAGGGGAAACTATTGCATTCTGCTTTGTATATTCAATTGAAGGTTTTAGTGACTCTCTTTTTTTCCACAGGCAGCTTTTCTCTCAGCTTTAGCAGGAGCTGAGGTTGTGGAAGTAGCAGCTCATGCTGCTTTAAAATCTTTATCTGAATTTGGATCGGGAAAATTTAAGAGTCATCTAGTATCTTTACCTACTAATGAAGAAAGTAAAGGTATGTTTTTCCTACTCACATGCACATTATTTATTTATTTATGTATTAATTTTTTCGCACTCGCAGTCCTCTTGAAAAACATCAACAGAAAGGAATGCTGGGATGTTGGAATAGAGTTTCATATTAAGCCTTACAGAACTGTCGGAGATGATTAAATATCCCCCTTTTGTTGTGGCCAATAATTAACAATATTTTCAAAGTGTTATAGCGTGCTTAAATCCGCGCTATCACTAGCCAAGGAAAAATGTAAATAGGCATCGAAGTGGAAATTCCATGTTTTGTTAGAAATACTTTTGTCTATGCTGTGCATCCAATAACTCTGGTTGAGGCATATTTGTCTCTTTTCCCTCACTCTCAGATGGTGCTGTTTCATAATCTTAAATGCAGAATCTGATGATGAAGCATCCAATGATTCCCATTCTATACATAGAATTGAAGGAGCTCTTGGTGAAGCACAGTTGCAACTTGATAAAGAAGAACTGAATGTGGAGACTGCAATTTCTCAAGTTGCTGATCAGGTATGTATTTGAAGAAGACCTTTTAAAACTATACAGAGTATATATTTATGGTTTACGAGCTGCCATTTTGTGCCCTCACTTTTCTTTGGATTATCACACAAATATAAGGTAAATTTCCCGAAATAGAAATGAAAACAATATGAAATTCCCAAATAAGAGTGCTGTGTTTTTCCTGTAAAAAGGAGTTAATTACGGTCATCTTGAAATTATATTGACATTATTATGACAAACATATTCCAAGCATAGTAATAATTACTCCTCTTTAGGGGGGAATATAATTCACCTATATTATAATTTCACACTGTGTTTACTCCTATTTAGAGTAATTTCCGCATATATAATTATCCCAAAACCATCATTGGCCAGAAAGAAAGAATGAAAAAAGCAGTCTAAAAGTTAATTTTGACTTGGATGTCATATGAAGATAAATTACATTTATACTCACTTTCTCTAATTTATTTGAAATGCATATATTTTCAGAGAATTTAAAACAGATCAAGACATACAAGTATTTTTTAGTCAAAATTCGCAATACAAGCAAATTATTGGTAGTAGATATCTTTCTAACATAAATGACCTGTACAAAATTGCAGATAAAAGAGATTGAAGAAAAGATAGCACATTTTGAGGACATTGAATTACACACAGAAAGGGAGTTACACTTGGTGCAACAACTCCAGAATCAGCTCTTTGCAGATCAGCTTAATTTGATGTTGAATAATAATGCTAATAACAAAGTTGCTTCTGAAAAAGCTGGGGCATAACTAGCAATGAGTGAATAACAAGATAGAGTAATGTTATATAACGCTCAACACCATTTTCCCTTGGTGCTAGCGAGTCAGATCTTAGAACTTGCTGATTGACTGTGTTCTAATTTCTCAAGCCTTAGTTTAAGAAAGTTGGTTTCTCTTGCTCCCATATAAATGTTGTGTAGACCATTTTTGTAGGAGGCAATGTACCATACTACCATCCATCCCGAGAAGATTAGGGCATGTGTTTTTGGTTTGCTCACCTCATACTGTTAGGAGAATGTAATGTAACATTATATTATTTGAAGAGTGTTTCCAATTAGGCATCTAAGTGTCTCTGCAATAGCTTTTAGTGATAGAACATTTGCTTTGCCCATTGCTTAGATGAACCTGAAAGATGCCACTGCCTGCATTTTAAAAAGGATGAATGACTTGTGACTGTTAAAAATATGGAGAGCGGGGGGGGGGGGGGGGGGGGGGCTGCCGTTTACCTTCTCAACTTTGGCACAGTATTTCTCTGACTCATCATCTACACACTGTATGGTGCAGAAACCAAATAAAACTAGTCAACATGTGTACACAACTCCCCTTCAGGAATTTAAAGAGAAGTGTATGTTATTTTTTTTCTCCCAAGTATGCCACTATGGTCTCTTCCCTCTTGTAATAAAAAAATAATACCTGTCCAGTAATGGTATACAATCGGTTGTATAAACCATTGTTTGCTATTCCAAGAACTGTGGATAGATGCCGCATGCTTTCTCCGGGATTTTGCAGCGTGTAACCAATGTAATACAACCCTGAAAGATGATAGTTTGTTTTTATGAAAAAAATCTCATTTCATACAACTTATGATTGTATTGTTGTGAAAAAACATTGAACGAAGCCAATAAGTATTCTCTTCATGAATCGGGATGATACAACTTGAATTTGAATTTCAGGGGAAATAGTATGATTGATAGCTTGTATTTTAGCTGCATTTGTGTAAAAATATCTTTAATTAATTAATTAATCTCGTCACAACTCACAAGTTGATAATGTCTTCACTAGTTGAGTGTTAACAAAATTCATGAATATCACTAGCTATGGTACCATTCACGTTATTTATCCCATAGATGTCTGTGACATTCCCTCCTTCCCTAAATAGTCAGCACAGTCTTGTTATTCATGCAGAGGTCAACTTAATTCTATTTTAATTTTTGAATTTATATACCAACTTTGATCATTGTGCATCATCATAGTGCACCACTTGTGAGTTTCAAACTCAATACTCCAGAAGGTAGAAATAATTCAAAATGAGATTTTTATGACTAAATTTTCATAACTAGGATCCTAGCATACTTAGGAAAAAAATAGAACTGATATTTACCATTAGCAGATTTGCAATCTATGAGCTTTGCTTTTACTCCTGGAGGTCGTTTCCAGCTTCTGTCCAATCCACTAACCTGTTTGTATACCAATTGAGAGGACTAAAAGCCAAGTGTGGTTTACCACTTTTTCCTAATAGGTAGTAACAAAAAGTTTTCACCAGATTATCTGCAAAAGCATCCACTCTTCCAAAGGATCCCAATGTGGTGAAGTCAGCACCAAGAGTTGTGATCATTATGCTCACTGATGGCAGCAGAACATATGAAAAGCTTAAAGCTCACAAAAAATAAGCTTCAAATGAAAAAAGCAGGGAGCCAGGGAAGATTAACTACACCCAATCTGCTCCAAATAGTTCCAATTATTAAGTCAAACTTCCCAAAATGATCCCTTCTTATTTGAGGCAGAATATAAATGATAATATTGGCTAACACTTTAGAGTTAGCTTGACTGCCTGAGGCTATGTTCTTGTTCACATTGACTTGAGGGTATTTTGGGAACATGACACAATGATTGGGATTATTTAAAAATAACACTGGGATGATTGTCATTATTTTTTCCTGTAAATAAATGCCCAAAAGCATACCATTTGAGCTTGAAGAAGGTTCTTGAGGATAGAAGGCAATGAGTGACCTCACTCCATCACCCTCTCCTGACCCAATTTCCCAATCTGCATGACACAATTCCTTTTCTCACTTTACATTGCAGTGTATATAGAAAATACTCTGGTATAGGACACTAGGACAGTGATGAATATCTCAGAGAATCAATCATAGAAAACCTAAGCTAAAGTGATGGATAATTAGTTCCATTGTATTTTTTTAAAATAGTTCCATTGTATTTTCAAAAGCAATGGCGTTGATATTCCCAAATTGCGAACTCTGTGATTTCAAAAATTAAGGACCAGTTTGGATGGAGGTCTTTTTAAGGGTAAGGCTTTAGAGGCCTCAGTTTGTATCTTGATAAATAGTGTTTCTAAAGAAGAACTTAGTAGTTGAAGTTCATAGTTATTCCGTCCATTCTTATTTTTCTTTTTATAAATGTCAAACATATACCCAAGATATAGATGTAGTCCTCAAAAAACTTCCATCCAAACTGACACGATATCAAGCCCCTCTTAACTCCTTCCCCTAATCTATATATACATTATGTCCACATCATTGTTCTAAAATCGGCCTAGTCGGTCCGATTAATCGGCGTCTACGCGCTAGGCAGCCTAGTCAGCCAAATAATCGTCCTAGTCGGTGCCTAGACGTTGGCGATCCCTCAGTCACCCGACTAGCGCCTAACGAGTTTTAGAACAGAGGTCCACATTGAGCATGTATGGTTCTAGATAATCCCCTCTTCCTTACCAAATTTAATCTCCTCATTATTTCACTATTCTAGCATATTATGATCTCCTTTCCACTATCAGTAAAACAATGAATCACACATTTGAACTAAAAAAAAGGCTAAAAACATACCGCTTGGAATGGATACCTTAAACTTGTTTACATCATCGGTATATACACGAAATTCTGTCACTGCCTCTGGAGAGTGGAGAAATTTCCAACTTATATTAGTTCATTAAAATAACGTAATTATATTTAGATAAAAGGGGCCAGAACATCAAGTAGAGACAATACCATTTTGAGCACGTGCAACTAAAGTATTAAATGCAGAAAGGGATGAGGATGCAGCAAGAAAGGTAGCTGCTTGAAGCAAAAGATCTCTCCTTTTGCTCAATGATTGCTCTCTCACCCTAACAAGAAAAATATTGAGTTACCATGGTTTTGTTGCAATAAACCACTATATAATACTCCCTCCCCTCTCATTCTCTATTCACTAGTCATTGCGGATTCTTTAGTTTAATTGATGAAAAAGTTAACTTCTCCCTATTTAGAAAAAGGCTAGGCATCCCAGTAAGGCGAGCATCCAGGGAGGGTTCCACCGCAAGGATGAATAAGGAGCAAGTCTTTCAATGACAAATTTTGGCAAGAGGCTACTCAGACTTGAACCCTAACTTCAGTCACACAGAAACACCTTAACCGGTGCGCAAAGGCTCCCATTCTTCTCCCTATTTAAAATTTAATTGAAATTAAAAATTATGATTGAAGTGCATTCTGCACTAAGGGCCAAGGAAGTTATCCAGCCCATGCAATCTAGAAGATCTTCACATGAGAAAGATCAACCAAAAATCAGGCATATGTAGGGATATCAAATTGTTTGGAAATAGTAATTGAGACAAACAGGAGGAAGTGAAAGTTAATCTGATACTTTCATTTAAGGACAGAAATAGCATAACAGCCATAACTAATACTCCGTAATATTATGTACCAAAGTTGTGATATTCAAAAAATTTGATTTTTCTATTCAATAAAACTTCTGATGCAACTTCCCCCCTTCATTTATGATCTTCCCTTTCCGGCATTTCCTACTTTTCATATTTATTTTTTCATATTTATTTCAGAATTTATCTCTACACTATTGATTACCCCTGCAACTTTATGTAGTGGAACAACTAAAATGAAATATATTAACAAAGAAGTAAGCGAAATCCTTTATATAAAACCACACCTCTGATCACCTTCACACCCGGGGTTCTTAGTGCAGTAAATGTACGAATTTCTGTTGTTCCTGAGCTCTGTGGAAGTTAATGTACATGGAGGCATAAAGTTACATCAGAAAACTGAGAAGCGAAAAATGGAAGAAGAAAACAAGAATTAGAAGGCCAACTGGTCAAGAAGGGAGAAAGGTGAAACCTTTGAGGTGGAGATGGGTGGCAGAGGCCGAGATGGGCGTGGCGGAGTGAGGAAAAAGCAATCCACACTGTGAACGCAGAGATGATATAAGAGCAAGCTCCATTTTCATCCGTTCAGCTTGACAAAACATTGTTGTCCACTCTTTTTTCACTTTAAATATGTTTTTAGTCCCTGCAAATATAGCATACTTTGTTTTAGGTACCTCGCAAAATATTTTCTATGTTTTTCATCCCTGAAATTTGTGTTGATTTTCCTTTTAGTTCATGACTACTGGCAACAACCTCCGTTTGACAACGAAATAATCCCGACTTCTTTAATTCTTTGTCATGCCAATCAAAAAATATTTAATTTCATTTTTAAAACATTTTTAATACATATTTTAAAAATGCAAATAATTAGTTTTAATATTGTTTTAACTCTCTTATTAGCCTAAAAAAAATTTAAACTGATAAATTTAAATGTTTCTAATAGATTTATGCAACTGATAATAAAAAAGTTCTAAGTAGAGTTGTTTAAGAGTTAAAGATGGACTAAATTTACAGGGGTGAAAAACAAAGAAAATTTGCAGGGACCTAAAACAAAGTGTGTCATATTTGCAGGGACTAAAACCATATTTAAACCCTTTTTTTATTACTCCATTTTTTATTCTTTAATTTGGGTATTCTTTTTAAGGCTTAAATAAATTTATTTTAAGATCCAATAAAGTTTTTTAAACTAGTTTCTAAATACTCCTTCCGTCACAATATTTAAAGAGGTTTTGCCTTCTATCTGGCGTTCTAGCAAATGAGTTTTCATCAATTTTTGAGAAGTATTCGTTTACTTTTTATCATATCATAAAACTCATATGAGACTTGCGCTAAAGTACGGTCCGTGATTGTTTGAAGAAAATCTTTTTGTTTACATGAACTAAAAGCGGACATCCCGTTTAAAGCTCCACTACATTAGTCGGAATTTTGCAATCAAGTCCACAAATTGCTATTGAGTTTTTCTACACAAAAAGTGACTGAGAGAGTTGGGAATACTTTTAGAAAATTTTATTAAAATAGATGATAATCAATTTGAGAGTTTATGGATGGCTTACTTGCAAATTCAAGTTGATATTGGGAAACTCTTAAAAAGAGTACTGATGGATATATACTATCTTGGACTTAGTCCGTTAGATTAGTCTCAGGCCATGGCATTGTCTAAGCCCTTGAGGTCTTTTCTATATACTCCGTATAATTATATAGTCTTCTATTGTAGAGGATTCCATTGATTCTAATCAGACACACACTACCCGTTTTATCTGACTAGCTCATGTCTCTATCTAAATCTAGAACTTGTATAAAATATTGTTAATTCAAATCTCAACGACAATCAAACGATATACTAAGTTTAACAACAACTTCTACAGAATAGTTGATAATGAGGAAGACATAACAGTACAAAGTATTCTACGAAAGTAACGAAACTGAACAGAGAGTGACTAGCCAGTAGCCGACTACAACCCAAAATACCACTAATGGAAGTAACAAATGGCTTACTTCGGAGCACAAATTCAAAATGGGAGGATAGAGCAACTCGTAGGTGGGCATGTCAATGTGAAGGACGATTATAGGTTAGAGTTCCAGGCATGAGCATGAGGCGGAGAGTCCTCAAAGATTGTAGGTACTATATCAAACACCAATGAGGGGGGTTATGATGACTTGAGAGAGTCTTAAGTGGGAGATCCAAAACATCGACAATTATGAAAAGAGATGATGAAAAGATGCCAAACTATAATGAAAGTGAAAATGAGTTTAAAAAAACGGGGTTGGGGCGGGTTCGGGTCTCTAGGCCCACCTATGAGTTTGAAGGCTCCACTTTCAATTCATCTCTAGGCCCACCTATGATCGTCATATAGAAGCGACAGTCGCCATCCAGGAGGGGAATGGCGAGCCCGATCGCTAGCTCAAGACACTTGGCGCTAAGGAGGCCGGTCTTGAGATATAGCATCACGTCGTGGCCGAGGGGCCGATCGTGAAGAACGGATGGCGATGATGATGAGCCGATCCGAGTAATGATGACGAGGCGATGATGAGCCGATCGTCATGTAGAAGCGACAGTCGCCATCCAGGAGGGGAATGGCGAGCCCGATCGCTAGCTCAAGACACTTGGCGCTAAGGAGGCCGGTCTTGAGATATAGCATCACGTAGGTGGGCTCAGGTTAGAGGTGAATGACTGGATGTTTTTATTCTAACCCGTCTTTTTATTTTGTTAATGTTGTTGGAGTTTTTGGTCCGAACGTCTGGATGTTTTTCTTTGTGATAGTTAGGTAGGCTCAGGTTAGAGGTGAATGACTGAATTTGTTGCTAGAGAGTGTATAGACTTGTGTTTGTTTGTTAGGTGATTATATTGAGTCACTTACGTTTTTATGAATGACCAACTCTGCGTTTAATCTTAGAACTTGTGATCAAATTTGGGACAACAAACTAAATACTTATTCGCATTTCACATATTTCTGTATTTAATTAAGTCTTTTATCATATAAAAAATGTGTACTGATTATTTTTGTAACACATCCATTATTGAAGAAAATGGGATCTCTGGTCCGAGCTAAAAAGCCAAATCAGTTCCCGTTACTGTAGGCTGTAGAGTGCATATAATACATATATACATACATAACATAATAACATGATGATGCGACCGTTAGGAAATTAATCAATTAATTAATCCAATATGCTCACTCTTTGGCTCTCTTCTTCAAGAGACGTAACGAAAAAAATCCCAAAGCAAAGGTCTGCCAGAACCAACCGCGGGAATTAGAGGCATCCACTTTCTTTGCAAGGTGCCATGCATACATAGCCTCCCCGATGTGTAACACCACAGACAAAACGAACAATACCCGTAATGCCCAAACCGAGCGAAACACGAAAAGCCCGATCCCTCTTATGAGTGGAATGGGCCCAAAGTCTGGCAGGAAAGCAGCACCAAATAGGGCAACCATTCCACCCAAAACTAGAGCCCATGTCAGTAGCGTTGGCCCGTCTAGACTCCTCCTTTTTTGCTCTTTCCAATATGATATTGTGGCAGCCATACCGTCCTTAGGGGTCACCATTGGGATGTAACCAAGCTCCTCTTTGGCTTTTATATAGGAAAAGTAATGTGTGACACCAACCTGCCACAAGAAATGTGAAACACTTGGGGAAACAACATTTAGAAATGAAAAATATGAGTATTAAAGGTTTCCTCGAGTTTCCCAAGGCTATGTTTGAATCCTGGAAAATTTAGGAGAAGAAATTAAGAAAGGAACATTCAAAGGCAAGTACTTCTTATGTTTGGATTTGCTGTGAAAATTACATATGAGAATGACAAATGATTAATATTATATGTAGTAATTTTTTACATTTATTTAGATTGTTAATGTCTGTAATTAGTACAAATGAATTCGAATATATTAAAAATAGTATTGAGCTTTAACCAACTGTTTTATTTCTTCAACGTGTTTTTGCTTCCAAATTTTCCTAATACTTCACACTTCACTCCCTGTTTTCTTTCCCCAGCATTTTATGGGGTCCAGACTGAGCCTAAAGGTTTCCTATAAGTTTCAGAAACGTGGACCTCCCCATAAGCAGTCTTAGGCTCCGTTCGGAAACCTCTTATCTGGCTTAAAGCAAAATAAGTAAATTATGACACTACCTCCGTCACAGCTTAAACTTCTCATTGAAAAATGGCACGAGTATTTAGATAATAATTTAATAGGGTTATTCGAGTATATATTGAGAACTAATTTTGATGGTAAATGATATAATGAGATCATTGATGATAACTGTGATGTTATAAGTGTATTATTTTTAATATTTCATGGTTAAATTGTCATTTAAGAGTGCTTATTATTTCCTAAAGTAGAAATGAAAACCTTTAGCTAGGACGTCCAAAAGAGGCAAATGAAAAGCTTAAGCCGGGACGGAGGGAGTACTTATTTGGATGAAATGGTTATTCCCAAACACATTTTCTTTCAGAATATCTAGCAGCCATTGCAGCCAAATGACTCTTACCAAACGGCCATTTAATACACAGTTCCATAATAGAAGCATAGAGCAACCATTCAGAACTCAGTCTCATTCTTATAAGCAATGTAGCTGTTACCTTTTTTGGTTGAAAGGCTATTGCGGTATTGCCTAACACGCAACACTATAACTTTAGGAAAATTCATCAGCCATAAGCCAAATAAATCTTACCAAATGGGTGCTTGATTAGGACTCAGGACAACCATAAAGAATTGCAAAATTCAAATACGTTCAGTTAATTCCCAAAGAGTACACGAAGCAGGAATCAAACACAAACCTTGTGCACCTCAGTAGGAAGAATGAAGGGTTGAGGAAGCCACCTCTTGTTTAGCCAAGGGTGCATGAAAGAGTACAAACCCCAAAAAAAGTTTCCTAGAAAAAGAGCTTGGGGGACAGGCAGTGACCTTTCTGGTAGTTCATAATCCAGGCTTTTCAGTAAAGGGCGAAGAAACTCAAAACTGTTAACGGGAGACCCTGCAGACAACAAAGAAAGCAAATTGTTATGATATACCACAACTGATTTAAGCAAGCATTCATAGAAGATGTGAGGTCTAACTACATATAGCGCATTGCCTTCTTCAAATGGTCTGTTCGGAGCCTAGAAAATGCTAGGAAAATAAATTAAAAAAAATAGAATTGGAAAGAATGAAAATTGTACAAAGATCGGGAAATCTAGAAAAATGTTAAACCTTAAAAAGTTCCAATCAAGTTTTGTTTTCCAAGATAAAACCAAAACTAAAAACCATTTCCCTCGGTTTTTTAAGGGATTTATAACTTAATGTATATACATTACACAAATTGCTAATTTTAAAATTTAGGACATAAGTCTCGCAAACAAAACTAGTTTCCTGTTAATAAGTGCACTGATATTTAAGATTTTTGTCCATTAGGTATTCATTCTGTAATAGTTAAGGATTTCTTCCTTTTTCTAAACCTTTCTCTACAAACTTCCATGATCCAAAAATACCCTAAGAGTGTAGAGAAAGAATAAAAGTCAAGAGTAAGATACCATCTGATATGAAGTAAGCTTTACCGGCAGCAACTGGTATCCCTTCTTTCCCGGGGATGTCATCCAATAGTCCAATACTAGCCAACAGAAGGGCCAAAACAAGATTATCTACATAAACCCAATCCATTTTCACATCTGGTGAGCC